TCTAAAGCTTGTGTTTAGGGTTCTTGTATGCCATTGCTTGGTTATTCCTTTGATTCAAGTCATTTTGTTGTATTTGGTGAAATTTGGCATGTTTTGGACTAGAATTTGAGTTTGGAGATGAAAATCCCCGAAGGGATTTATTTTGGTACAGGTGTGTACCCGCGGGCGGAACAGCGGGTAGGAGGTCCACCCGTCGCCCACCCGCGGGGTACAGGTTGCTTGTGGGTTATGTACCCGCGGGCGGAACCGCGGGTAAGGGCCTACCCGTGGGTCCATCCGCGGGGTACAGTATATGGATGTTGGGGGATTTGTTCCCCGTGATTCTTTTGACTCGATATTTGGTCTTTTGACTTCCTGTTGTTCTTTTGTGTATTTGAGTGTCTTCTTGATGTTTCGTATGTCTAGAACTATATGGTAGGAATCCATGTAGGTCTTGGTGTCTTGAATCGTGCTAAGTGTTCAAAATTTTGTTTCGTTGAACCGTGATGAGTCTTGTGTGTTCTTCGGAACTACGTTTGGTTTACCCGTTTAATAAGCATGCTAGTTCGATGTTTAAATGCTAGCATGTGTGTTGTTTGTACCTTCCGTTGGTTGATGATAACTTGTGTTATTCATCGTTGTTGTTATTGGACTGTGATCCATTACTTGATTGAGTATGGTTTCATATCTTAGACGAGTGCGCGGTCTAGTGCCAGCTAGTATAGCTCCCCTCTTATGTTTTGTGGCCTGTGAGCCAATCTAGACTTAGTACTCTGTTGGATGGTTGTAGATTTTAAACAATGCAGATTTAGCCTGTGCGTTCACCCTTGGGTGAGCGTGGCATAGCACCCCGTTTCCTTTGTTTTATATATTTCCTCTTTCAGTCTTCCGCTGTGTTTGGTGTTTTGGTTTAAGATATCTGCATGTTTTAAGGCTTTAAATAGCATGGTTTTAGGGGGTGTTATAGTTTGGTCTTACCGTCCAATTTCTATCCTAACTATTGTCTGAATTTCAACGAGAAAAAAATATATGTTCTAATTAAAAGGGTATCTGTTCATAACTTCTAGCACAAAGAGTCAATATCACATCCGCTGAAGCTTGAACCTACAACCTCCTACGTGGGAGAACAACTTAGTGCCACTAGACCACAAGGTCATTGGTAACCTATGTTTTTTAGTTACTAAAACCCTTGACCATTGAAGATGATTCTTGATGGTTTGGATATATATATGTATACACATTGATACAAAACAACAAACGTAAAGATAATTGGAAAGAAAATAAAAAACACTGTAACTCAAACTCAAAAGTTTCAAATAGTATTTTCTCTGCCCTTCCCATCTGACAAAGCATGCTTAAATAGGATACAAAGGCAAATAAAACACACTTAACTCAAACTCAAAAGTTCCAAATAGTATTTTCTCTGCCCTTCTCATCAGACAAAGCATGCTTAAATAGGATACAAAGGCAAATAAAACACACTTAACTCAAACTCAAAAGTTTCAAATAGTATTTTCTTTGCCCTTCCCATCAGACAAAGCATGCTTAAATAGGATACAAAGGCAAATAAGAGAAGCTACTGGAATTAAAAGCTTGTAAATATTTTGTTGGTAGATTATTTTAGCTATATATTTTGGTTGTAGTTGTTTTGGAAAATGCAAACTGAATGTGGGTAATACTCCCTTTAGCATTGTAAAACTTTAATCTTTTGAATAGTCCACCATCAATGCAGTGTATCATTTTGGTAGTTTGCAGTTTATACCATGCCAGTTTACAGTTTCATCAATTCCAGTTTCATAAACGATAGATACCATTCCAGTTTACAATTTCATCATTTCCAAATTGTAAAACTATAGATACCATTCAATATTACAAACTTCCATTCATAAATAAGTGTCAAATTACAGCAGACTAGCAAAGTACATCATGCTAAACGGAGTTTACAACTATGACTCCCAATTTCAACAAATTTGAAGTACAAGTAAAACAAACTAAATGCTAAAACAATTTGTTGGTCCCAAAAGAGGTATGGTAAAAGTCTAAAGGGTGGGGGGGGGGGGGGGGTGAATAGACTTTTAAACTGTTTTTGCAAATTACAACAATTGCTAAGGCAACAGAGAAACCAAAACTCTTAACTAGCTAGATTGTTAGAGTCTGGTGCACAGCAGAATAATAAAAGATAAGGTGTTGTGTGATTGTGTCAAGTATATCCACGTGAGAAGCATGCAAGAAGCAGTAAGTAAATAAAGCAGTAAAGAACACAAGGCAATTATAGTGGTTTGGAGGTGGTGTTATCCTCCTACTCCAATTACTCTTATCCTCCAAGAGCAATTCACTATATCTACCACTACTTGGTTCCAAGATACAATGAATTTCGTGATCTAGTGCTTTGATCACCAAGCCCACACGAATCACGCCCAGTGCCTACAACACTGTTGCTTCGGATTTCACAACTCTGTGCTACTTTCCTTCCCCTTTCTACACTCCGGTAGAACTACAATTCATATTTCACGACTCCGCGTTACTTTCCAGGATTTCACTACTCCGTGTTACTTTCCCCCCAACTTCTACACTCCGGTAGAACTGCTACTTGGATTTCGCAACTCCGTGGTACTTTCCCTTCTCCAAGACTTTACACTCCTTGTGACAGTCTTCTTCCTACACTCCAGTAGGGATCACTAGTACAAAATTGAACATAGAAGATTGACCATAGGCCACCATTGTTGAAAGAATGGTTGTCTAATCTTAGCCCAAAAATTCACGGTGGCAATTTTGTAAATAAGTGATCAATAATCCGCCACCATTGTTAGCTGTAATGGTTGCCCATTGTATTTTGTATTTATTTTAAAAAAAATTAATTTATAATAGTCAACCATTTCTAATAGAAATGGTTGTCTTAAAATAGAACTTGTTTTGTAATAGAACTTAAAATAGAAATGGTTGCCTTAGATTAACCCTAGATCTATGGAGTCAGAAGACATATCGACATTCCAAGACGAACCGATCGACGAATTAGACGAATTCGCTGTCGATCTGCCGCTGCGTGACCACCAATCGACGAACGAAGACGACGATCGGCGTGACCACCGATCTGCCGCTGCTCTCTCCGGCGACCACGCTCTCGATCTCACCCCTCCACCACGCGATTGTTCTCGCCCCGCCACGATCGATCTGCTCTCTCCGGCGACCGCGATCGATCTGCTCCCATCCGACCTCGACGCTCTCGCCCGGCGACCCACCGCCACCACGCCGTTGGCGGAGACCACCGCGACGCACCGCCACAGTCGAGCCGCCATCCCCGGCCCGCCGACGCCACTGCCGCCCCTAGCCGACGCCACTGCCGCCTCCCTTTCCCGACGTCGCGCCACTGCCAGGTTAGTTTTTTTTTTTTTAATTTTTTTTTAATTGTTAATAGTTAATATATATATATATATATATATATATATATATATATATATATATATATATATATATATATATTCAAAGTTTGTGTCTTCCTCAAAGTTTGTGTTTTGCTTTTTGAATTTTCAAGCGGTGGAACAGAATCACCGATGTAGTATATCTCTTTGTTGAACTTACATATTTGATGCCAAAGAAAAGAAAATAATTCTGTATGTAGCATTAATGTAAGAACTTTGATCACAGATGAACAAAAATTGTTGGCAAACCATTGTGTAGCCCAGCTAACATTATGATGAAACATATGAAGGAGAAAGATAGTTAAATGTACAGTGGCCATTAAGTAGTTATTGAGATGGAATGCAATCATAAATAAAGCCTGAAACAGGAAGACCTACAATGGTTGGAGATAGTTCATGTAGTGATAAACTAAAGTTAATTCAATAATTGGTTAACTTTTTTGTTAAAAAATGAACATGTTTCTGGGTCAAGCAGTTTGAACAGAGAGAGTAAACAATGTGCTTGGTTTTGGAGATAAACTTAGTAGCTTGTGTAAAGCAATATTGTGGTAAAGAGTGGCCTTGATATCTAGGTATTTGTGTACGGTGTACATTTCCCTAATGCAGTAAGAGATAGATTTATAGACTTGGCCTCCTCTAAAGTGTGTGCTTCACTTCTTGAAACATAGAACTTTGTCATGTAACCTCTAATGTACATCTAAATTGCAGAGTACAGAAATCTTGTTCACCCTTTATGAGGAATTGATGATCTAGTGGACATTGCAAATGGTAGTGGAGTTAATTCCAAACAAATGTGATTCAGACTTTATCAAGGAATGCAGTTCATAGGAGATCAGCAAAGATGAGGGGAGGAAATACACTTAAGCAGAACCCTCAATATTCCTATGTACATATAAGATTACAAAGAATCATACGGAAATGTTTAGCAATAAACCATTCAGGAATGCTTTCATTCTCATTCCTTTAGGAAGGTTTAGAAATAGATTTTTCTGGTTACTTGTTCAAATGTGTAATTGAAAATTGAAATATGAATATCTCTTGATAATAATTTTAGTACTCTAACTCATACTAGAAACAGAAGAAAGTAATATAGGCTATTGATTTTTTATTTTTATTTTTTATATGCCTTGCAGCATGTGATGCATTCACTTAACTAATGACCATAACTGCCCTTTATTTGGTAATAGATGGGCTACTAACGGTCAAAAGTTCTAACAGTCTTCTATCTCTTATTTCAGTTGACATTTATTTGGTGGTATACATTCAATAATGCAGGTTTCTCGTCACAAGAGAGGGATACAAAATGGACCTAAGGCTCTGAAACCTCAACCAGTGATTATCCGCTGCAAGTAAGTATTCCATCTATTCCTATGCCCCAAATATTAGAATTGACATGCCGTTATAATGCTATTAGACAATCCTCTTCATTACTTGTAAACATCTGTTATGCTAAGTTGAATGACTACATTTGATTGCTCAACATGCAACAAATTATAATCTTAGTCATACTTGATTGTGAGCATTACCCAAAGACAATTAAGTAACCATTGCGTATCCATATCTGATTAGTACTTAAGAGTAGTATTTTATGAATTCACAGATATGGATAGAAGTTGGATGTTCGGAAAACGCACTACATTCCCATATATGCAAGGGGTTCAAGAGTTTATACAATGTGCTGAAGAAAATATGAGTAAAAAGGGGGAGGACTTTATTGTGTGCCCGTGTTGCGATTGTCAGAATTTTAAAAGATATCGTAGTTCTGATGAAGTGAAGAGTCATTTGATACGTCGTGGTTTTAATGAAGGATACACAAGATGGATATGGCACGGTGAAAGCTTAATTCCTAGTACAAGTGTAATTAAGGAAACTTATATAGATAGTGAAACTCATGCACACGGTAAAACTAAAGCAAATTGTCAAACTCTTGAAGATAATGAGAAGAATAATGCATCTCATGTTAGCAATGATGAGAATGATGAAGATAATGATCGAATAGATGAAATGATGCGTGATGTGCAGGAAGATTTTAGTGAAATGCCTCCTGAATTTAAAAGTTTGTTTGACAATGCTGAAAAACCGTTGTTTCCTGGAAGTACTAAATTTACTAAGTTATCTGGAGTGCTTAAATTATATAATTTAAAAGCAAAAAATGGATGGAGTGATAAGAGTTTCACGGAATTATTAGAACTAATAAAAGACATGCTTCCGGGTGACAATGAACTTCCTAATTCAACTTACGAAGCAAAAAAAATGTTGTGTCCTTTGGGTATGGACATTGAGAGGATACATGCATGTCCAAATGATTGTATTTTGTATTGGAAAGATTACAAAGACTTGCATGTGTGTCCAAAGTGTGGAGCATCACGTTATAAAAACAAAGATGCATGTAAGAATAAGAAAGGTCCCCCAGCCAAAGTATTATGGTACTTACCCGTAATACCAAGATTTAAACGCATGTTTTCTAATCCAAGAGAGGCAAAAAATTTGCAATGGCATGCTATTGGAAGAAAAGAAGATGGAAAACTGAGACATCCAGCTGATTCACCTCAATGGAGAAATATTGATAGGAGGTGGCCTGATTTCGGTTCTGAAAATAGAAATCTTAGACTTGGACTGTGTACTGATGGAATGAATCCTCATGGTAACATGAGCAGTCGAAATAGTACTTGGCCTGTTCTTTTAGTAGTTTACAATCTTCCTCCTTGGTTGTGTATGAAAAGAAAATACATCATGTTGTCGTTGTTGATATCAGGACCTAAACAACCAGGAAATGACATTGATGTATATCTAGCGCCACTTGTTGAGGATTTAAAGATTTTGTGGAATGAAGGTGTGTCGGTGTATGATGCTTATACTCGAAGCAGATTTACCTTACGTACAATGATTTTTTGCACAATAAATGATTTCCCAGCTTATGGTAACCTATCGGGTTATACTACTAAAGGAGCTAAGGCATGCCCAATTTGTGAAGATGAAACTTCCAGTCTATGGTTGAGTAACTGTAAAAAGAATGTGTTCATGAGCCACAGGACATTTCTCCCTACGGGTCATCCTTATCGTAAGAAGAGAAAGGCTTTTAATAGAAATCTTGAGACTCGAGTTGCTCGTTTACCTTTATCTGGAGATACTATTTATGAACGTGTTAAGAATATTGAAGTTGATTTTGGTAAGACTTGTAAGACTAGTCAAACGACTCCTTGGAAGAAGAGGTCTATATTTTGGGTTCTACCATATTGGGAGCATTTATCAGTTAGACACTGTCTTGATGTTATGCATGTTGAAAAAAATGTTTGTGACAACATTATTGGGACACTGTTAAACATTCAAGGGAAGACGAAAGATAGTGTTAAGGTTAGAAAGGATATGGTTGAAATGGGAATACGGGATAAGTTAGCACCACAAGAGTTAGGAAAGCGGACATACTTACCTCCAGCTTGTCATACTTTATCCAAAAAAAGAGAAAACAAGTTTTTGTGCCTGTTTAAATGGTGTCAAGGTTCCTTCTGGGTATTCGTCGAATATTAAGAAACTTGTGTCGATGAAGGACCTTAAGTTGGTTGGCATGAAGTCTCATGACTGTCATGTATTAATGCAACACATGTTACCAATTGTTATTCGAGACATCCTACCGAAACATGTTAGGCGGGCTATAACAAAGCTTTGTTTCTTTTTCAATGCTATTTGCAGTAAAGTTATTGATCTAGATGTATTAGATGATTTGCAGGCTGATGTGGTTGTTACTTTGTGTCAATTTGAAATGTATTTTCCTCCATCTTTTTTTTTTGATATTATGGTGCACTTGATTGTTCATTTGGTGAGAGAAATTAAGATGTGTGGTCCGGTTTTTTTGAGGTACATGTATCCGTTTGAAAGATATATGGGAATATTGAAAGGATATGTGAGAAACCGGTATCGACCTGAAGGGAGTATAATTGAAGGTTATGGTGCTGAAGAAGTCATTGATTTTTGTACTGATTATTTAGCTAATGTTGAGTCAATTAGTGTTTCTAAGTCTCGTCATGAAGGAAGACTCACCGGGAAAGGTACTATTGGGTACAAACCAGTTTCTCCACCTTTGCAGTTGCGAAATAAGGCACATAATCTCGTATTGCAACATCTTTCTGAGGTACATCCATACTTGGGCCAACACATGTCCCTGATAAGAGAACAAAATCCTTTAAAGGGTGAAAGATGGGTGACCATTGAACACAATCGCACATTCATCACATGGTTCAAAGATATAGTGATGAAAGACGACTTATCTCAAGTCAGTGAAACCATCAAATGGTTAGCATATGGACCTGATTTGCTTGTAAGTTGTTATGAAGGTTATGACATAAATGGATATACATTTTACACCAAGCGACAAGATGAAAAGAGTGTGGTGCAAAATAGTGGGGTTACACAAGTAGCATTATCAAAAGATTATTCAAGTGCTAAGGATACTAAACCGATTGATGCTGCTATGTCTTATTATGGTGTGATTGAAGAAATTTGGGAACTTGATTACAAAGTGTTTAAAATTCCTCTATTCAAATGTAGTTGGGTCGATAATAGAAGAGGCGTTCGGATAGATGAATTCGGTTTTACTTTGGTTGATTTTGAACGGTTGGGTTATCATGATGAACCATTTATACTTGCATTTCAGGAAAAACAAGTGTTTTATGTTTCTGATCCTGTTGATAATAAGTGGTCAATTGTGTTACAAAGCAAAAGATCTATTGTTGGTGTTGGTGATGTTGTGGATGAGGAAGAGTATGATCATTTTGATGAAACTCCTCCATTTTCTATTGGCGTTCAGTCTTTATCTTTAGAAGAAGATAACCTTGAAATAAGTTACATGCGTAGTGATCATGAAGAAGGATTGTGGGTTGACAATAGGTTGTAATATTGTAAGCTTTATAAATTGTTAAATAATTTTTAAGACTATTTTGTTCAAGTTGAAATGCAATATAACATGTTTACTAATAATTTTATTTTGTTTGTGCAGGCATATATAGATAATCATGCCTGATCAATCTATATCTTCAGGCCCTCCTACTAAAGCTACTGAACGCAAAAAAAGAGGGCCTACAACATGTAAAAAATTGAGGAAAAAAAAGGCTTCGGAACTTTCAGTTCAGTTTGATGAAAGTGGTAGGATAACTGGAGAACATTCTACTGAGTTTTCTACATACATTGGGACTTTGGTTCGTGCTCGTGTTAATATCAATTTCAAGAATTGGCGTGAGGTAGATTCAAATCTTAAAAATACCATTTGGGAAGATGTTAAGGTATATTAAAGAACTTTATATTAATAACAATAAGTCAAGTATATATATTATGTTGCTTATGTGCGTTAAACTATTCAGGGGAAATTTGGTATTGAAGATGCTTCAAAGAAGTCAGTGGTTTTGAAAATTGCACGGACGAGATGGGGAGACTTCAAGAGTAGATTATTACGTGAGTTTGTACACAAGAAGCATCAAACGTATAACTCTCCTACAGAACTTTATGACTTTTTGAGTGCAGAACAATGGGCGAAGTTTGTAGCTAGTCGGCAGTCTGAAGAGTTTAAGGTATATTTATATCATTTAGTTATAAGTAAAGTGTTTTATTAATATTAACATGTCTGTGAAATTATAGGAAAGAAGCCAGAAGGCTAGGGAATTGTAGGCGTTAAATGAGCATCCACACTTTTTAGGTTCTAGTGGATATGCGAAGAGACGACAAGAGTGGATGAAAGAAGATCCCCTATCCTCACAATCTTCGTATGCGTCAGTTAGTTCGTCTTTGTTGTGCGATGATCGCAGCTTTGATTGGATACGAGCAAGAACAAAAAAAGCAAATGATGGAAGTTACTTTATTCCAAATGAAAAAACACAGGAAGTGTTTCATAAAATTGTAAGCATTATATTTTTTCAAATTTCATAATAGTACATAATATTTATAAAAAGACTAGTACTTGACTTATTTTAATTTGTTGGAACAGATAGAAAAATGTGAAGAACTTGATCAAGGAAAATTTGAAGCAAAACGACACCATGACTGTAACACCCCAGATTTTCAAGACATTTAAAACTTATAATAAAGGTAGAATCTTATTAAATCCCAAGATATAAATACAAGTGTTCGGGGTGCTATGCCACACCTGGGCTAGAGAACCCAAGTGCACAGGCTAACTAACTAATATCCTCAAAGCGTAAATACGTAAACGTGGCACGCAGGCCAAAAGGGAAACTGTCTACTTCTAAGTTCTAGCGCACTCCAGTGACTTAATCTTCTGTGCCTGAAAGCCAAATATATCTGTTCAGCGAGAGATGCTGGTAACCCACTCCAACGCGTTGAAATACAATACATATAGAGATATATATAGATATACGAAAACCATTTTGAGCATGAAGATATATCCTACGAACTCTAGCTTTAAGACCGGGAATGACTCGACAAATAAGGCCAGACACAAGCAACAGTTATAACGAGCATATGCAGTTCACAACAGATAAGGCAATAAGGCAAAGCATAACAATAATCACAACCCAACATAAACAATCCCCAATATAAATCCCATAGTCACATCCCCCAAGACACTCGTAATCACAACTCGTCTATGTCACAACACATAACACACTTTGTTGGCGCCACAGGACCAATCGCATGCCCATACATAAGGGTCAGCGCATATAGCTCTGACACGGCCCCGCAGCACCCTGCCCCGTATCGCAACACGGAGGGGTCGATCGCAACCGACCGATGAACCGCAGCTCATCATAGTGTTTGATTGCAACCAAACAGTGGACCGCAGCCCAAGAGAATGTCATCTGACCGCAGCCAGGAAAGAGGACGAACCGCAGCTCGTATAGAAACGTTTGATCGCAACCAAACGGTTGACCGCAGCCCAAGAGTATCAATCTGACCGCAGCCAGCTTCTGAACCGCAGCTCAGGATAACCAATCCGATTGCAACCGAATTGGGTTAACACACACACATAACACATAGCAAGCACATGCAACCCATATTGCACATTGGGAAGGGTGAGAAAGCACATAACAAAACCTATGCGTGATCCATCACATACTAAGAATAGTCCTAAGGGGTTCATACTCCTTCCACCTAGGTCAACGGGATACCAATTCAACTAGCATGCAATATAATAGACTCATAAACCTACGAACGGTACCCGAAACATCAAACTAGACATAGGCACGATAAACGGAGTCCGTTGGGACACCACGGGGAACGGGGGAACATCAAACGGGGAAGCCGGGGTCCCAAAGTGGGATAATTTCCAGTGGGTAGCCGGTGGGTGGGGGGCCACCCGCCGGCTGCCCGCCGGACTTTACTGTTCCGGGCAGCGGGTCGTCGGCGGGCAGCTGCCCGCCCGCCGGCTGCCCGCTGCCGGGAAGGTGTTCTCGGCCGTGGGTAGGTGGCGGGTCCCCTACCCCCCCACCTACCCCCCACTGACTCTTATCACACAATACGCCTCGGGAACCGTTGTGGAACCCGAAACCATGCTTAGACACTTTACAACGTAATTAACGACAACACGTAGGCAATTGACGGATGAAATACGAGAAACGAACGGCACATAACCTATCATGCTTTTCTAAATATAATCAACACCCAAACATGCGATTTCCCCACCCGATAATCCAAGAATAATATCATACGACACAACCTAGGGTTCTAATCACTTTTACATCAACAAGGATACGATTCGTCTTCTAATTGCAAGATTCGGTAAGAATAACACATAAACATCAAGAGCATCACACAATTATCAAGAACAATACCTAATCATCAAGAATTCCATATAATCATCAAGAACACCATAATTATCAAGAATCTCCCAATATCAAGATTATCAAGATCCCTCATGGGATCATCACATCAAGCATCAATAATAATCATCAGATCTCGCCATTCACAATAATATGGGGGAAACCCTAAGGGGGAATCATAGCTATGAAAATAGGTTTTGTTGAGACATGGGTTACCTCTTAGCCTTAATTAATCCCTTGGCTATGAAGGGTATGTCTTTAAGCTTTCTTGCTTTCTTGATTTCTTCTAAGGGGATTCTTGGAGCTCTTTTGGGGTGATGGGCGTTAATCTTGTGGGGAGGGTTCTAGGTGCCTCTTAAGTCCCCTATTTATATATTTAGGTGTCCTAGTTAGGAACTAATATTATGGGCTTGCTAGTTCTATTTCTTTTGGGACTAAGGATTGGGTTTAGGGATAAGGGTCCATGGTCCATAGTGGACCATATTAATTAAAGAGGATCCTAATCATAATCTGAATAGTAAAAGGCCTACTTCCTTTATTCCTAACAGGCTTAAGATTCTTATTCGGGTAAGGGTCCACGGTTCATGGTGGACCTTACTAATTAATTAAAGGTAAACCTAACATAATTAAATCATATTTAATTATTATTAACGGGGTTAATTAAATAATTAATCCGGGATTGAAGGCCGTAACACGGGGTGTTACAATGACGTATTGTCAGTAGCTCTTGGAAAGGATGATAATTCAGGTTCTGTAAGAGCAATTGGTTCATACTCTACCATCCAAGAAGTGTTTGGTAGACCAAATCAGAAACAAAGCACATCGAGTGGGGTTTACTCAGAAGCTGTTGTCCAACAAATGTTAGAGAAATGTAGGCAAAATACAATAATGGAGGTGGAAGCAAAGATGAATCCCAAGATTGAAACAATGGACCAACAACTCAAGTTTTTGATGAAGAACATATCGGGGACACATCTATTTTCAGGAGGGGTCTTGCCTGATCCGCCGCTTCGTGATCCACCCCCTACTCGTAGTAGTTGTCATTCAGTTGACACATATCCAGTTACAACAATTCAGGTAATATTAAAAGTTATTTCATATATCAAAAAATTATTTATTGTTAGATAAAGATTAACACACAATTTTGAATAATAGAGTACAAAAAGGTGTTTACTAGCAGTATGTCCCAATGGAACACCAATTGATGTTGCAAAGGGTATGGTTCACCCAAGTACTGACGAGACTTTGGTGGATCACCAACCATTGTTGTATAACTGTGTCAAAGTTTCGGTGGATGAAGTGATTAAGGGTAGAGGACACTTTACTCTCCCCTTTCCAGATAAAAAATATGTCACTATAGCAGATATAGTAGGCAGTTTAGCACAATGGCCTATGCATTTAGTGACTTTAGAAGAGGTATGCATTCTTTTATTTAGTTATTAATTAAGTTATTTTTCGTTATTTATATTTAAAAGGGGCTAGTAAACTTACAATTTTATATTTGTAGAGTTCATCAAAACAAAATATGAAACCAAAAGATCAAAGTGTTGATTTATCTACTACTGGTGCACGAGCTCCCATTGTTGGTGATGATGTCTTACCGCACTTGGTGGACAATTGCAAGTGTTTAGTGGATTTGTTGACAAGCTTTCCACTTGGTAAAGACTGTATTGAGTTGGAGCTGGATAAAGCTATCTTCCATCATAAAAACACAAGTTCTATTTTTATGATGGTGAAGGATATAGCGGATTTGATGATGATGAATTGGCTTAATGTCTCAATCATACAAGTGTTTATACTGTAAGTTTTTTTTTTAATTATTACTATATTATATATATATATATATATATATATATATATATATATATATATATATATATATATATATATATATATATATATATATATATATATATATTTACCTATATTTAGTAAAATTTCTTATTCATTATTTCTTAATTTTCAGATTTCTTAATCAGTTGTGCAATGAGTATGACATTAGGTCAATCGGGTTTGTCTGTCCGACTCAGATTTGCCACACTATGCTTAAAAGCAGTTCCAGCAAAGTTACATCATATTTCATCCACGTCATGGAGCAGCACAAAGATAAAAACTTTATTTTAGCACC